TTTGTTCTTGAATACGTGTGTTGTACGTGTATTCTATGCTGAATAGTATAGATATTTTAAAAGTTTAAGAATTTGGACTAAATTTTTTAGTCCAATAAAAATTTAATTTTTTATTAAGAAAATTAAATTTTCCACCTTCAAATAATGGACTCAATCATTTAGCAATACTTATTGAATAGGTCAATACATAACAACTAGATTACTAATATTGAAACATTCAAATGCACCAATTTTAAAATACGAATTAATTAGTTGATGAGAATTGAGGTGTTAGTTGGTAGTTCTCCCAATTCAAAAATATTAATATCCGTTAATCTTAATTGGATTGCTTTTAACTGTTTTTTATTCTTTTAGTTGGATCATAAATATTCACAAAGTGCAAAAAATAAGAATAATCAGAATCTCTTGAATTGTGTTGGCTAAGAAAGAAAATGTTTTTCATGAAAAATAACTTTTTAGAAAATAATTATTTTTTAAATTTATTTTCTTAATTTGATATATAAATAAAAAATGTTATTCTTAATCAAAATACTTTTATATAATCTAATTAATTGAGTACTATCGAAGATAAGAATTGTGGGGCAAGAGTGAGATAAAGTCTTTCCTTTTAAATTTTTTTTTAATGATTTTTTACTTAGTTACTTTATAATTTTTTAAGTTTGAATGTTATTAAAAAAGTATAGCCGTTAGCTATTACCAACTTTAATGTATCACACTGCCATCTTTTTATAGTTTTTAATTTAGTGTTTATATATTAAAAATTAATATAATTTTTTTAAAAAAAAGAAGTCTCGAGAAAATGAAAAGAAAATTACAATGCGGAAAATCATGCTCTCAACAATAAGTGGGAGTTCAAGTAGTCAGTCAACCAACTAGCTACTAAAATTTCCCAAAGAAAATAAAACTAGTTATTTAACATGATTTCTTTTTATTTATAATAGAGAATTAACAATAAAACTAGTTGTTTATAGATGCAATTCAACTTTATTACTTTGTCATTGCAAAAGAATTGATAAGAAGATTTTTTTTGTTGGGATGTAGTCTTGTAATAGCTTCACACGTAATGTAATAATATAAAATAACCATAATAATACATGTGAGTGTGTGACAAATAGACTCATCCCCCTATCCCATTACATTTATGCCCTATCCCACTAAAATTAAATTAGACACGTTAAAAATAATTAATCGTCAGCTAATATAACTTTCAAACTAACAATGTGAGTTTAATTTACTCATAATATATAAATACCTTAACTTAACCTCAACTAGTAAAAAATTGTAATATATTTTTCTCCGTATACACATCCCTAAAGTTGCTACTATTCAATTGTCATTTAAAAAAAATCTTCCTTGTTAACAAAAATAAAAGAAAACGCATAATTTCATCTTTTTTAAAACAATTTTTCAAGCTCTCCAATGATATAAATTCATCAAATTATTCTAATTTAATTATTGATGATGTTCTGTTATTAAGCTAACTTTGAATCATTACTTCAAAGATTACTTATTTTATTGATACCAATATTTTAAATTGTGTCTAATCAATTAGCGCATCTGCCCTAATTTCTATGTGAAATTGTTCTTAGGAACAATAGTTTCCAGAACTGATCGAAAGGAGAAGAGGAACAGAGGAGAAGAGGAGAAGAGAAGAGTAATTATGTATCTCTTCTATTAGAGAAAATATATTCTGGAGAAACTTAACTACAATTACACACAAGACTCTCTTATATAGAGAGATATTTTTCCAAGACTTAACTACCTAAAAGTTAGTTATAGCTAACTTTTAGAACTAACTACTCTCTTCCTTTTTTTTCCTTACTCTCAACACTCCCCCTCAAGCTAGGAAGGGGAGAATATATCACACATTCCTAGATTAGACATAAGAAAGGTATACTGGACTCTAGTAAGCCCCTTAGTAAACATGTCTGCTGGTTGTTGTTGTGTTGGAATGTAGTTTGTAGTCAACATTCCTTGAAGCAGTTTTTCTCTGATGAAATAACAATCAACATCAATGTGTTTTGTCCTCTCATGATATACATGATTTGCTGCTATTTGCATTGTAGACTTACTGTCACTGAAGACACTTACCGGAAGTGTTACCTCACATTCAATTTCCTTCATCAAACCTAGTATCCACACCAATTCTGCTACAACTATTGTAAGGCTCCTGAACTCTGCCTTTACAGAACTCCTGGAAACTGTAGTCTGTTTTTTTAACTTCCAAAACACTAGTGAATCTCATAGTTTTACAAAATAACCAGTTACAGATCTTCTAGTTTGTGGACAAGCTGCCCAGTTAGCATCACAATATGCACTAATCTTTTCTTCTGAACTACTAGATAGGAGAATTCCCAACCCTGGTTGATTTTTAACATACCTCATCACTCTAAGTGCAGCTTTCATATGTGACTTCTTAGGATCTTGTAGAAACTGACTTAAAGTTTGCACACTAAAAGCTATATCAGGTCTAGTCATTGTTAGATAGAGAAGCTTCCCAATTAACCTCTGATATGCCATTTGATCAGTAGGAGGATCATCACCTGATTTCATGGTTTTTACATGATCATCAAACTGTTTTGAAGTGAGTTTCAGGTTATAGTCTATTGGAGTGACAATAGGTTTAGCTGCTCTTAACCCCAACTCATATAACAGTTCCAATGTATATTTTCTTTGATACATTAGAATTCCTTTGTTGGATCTTGCAAATTCAATACTAAGAAAGAACCTTAATTCTCCAAAATCTTTCATCTTGAAAGCTTGCTGCAAAGTGACTTTTGTTTCCTCTATCAGTTTCAAACTATCCCCAGTGATCAACATATCATCTACGTCTACTAACACAAGTGTGACTCTTTCAGTTGTCTTCTTAACATACAAAGAAGGATCATACTGACTCTGAACAAAATCAAACCTCACCAATGCCTCTGACAACTTTGTATTCTATTGCCTAGGAGCCTGCTTTAATCCATATAAGGATTTGACTAGTCTTAAGAAAGAACCTTAATTCTCCAAAATCTTTCATCTTGAAAGCTTGCTGCAAAGTGACTTTTGTTTCCTCTATCAGTTTCAAACTATCCCCAGTGATCAACATATCATCTACGTCTACTAACACAAGTGTGACTCTTTCAGTTGTCTTCTTAACATACAAAGAAGGATCATACTGACTCTGAACAAAATCAAACCTCACCAATGCCTCTGACAACTTTGTATTCTATTGCCTAGGAGCCTGCTTTAATCCATATAAGGATTTGACTAGTCTACACACCATATTCTACCCCTGGCTTGCAAATCCCTGAGGCAGGTCCATATATATTTCATTAGTCAAATCACCATTTAGAAAAGCATTATAGACATCCATTTGATAGATATACCATTTTTTCCTTGCTACAGTTGCTAGCACTATTCTTACTGTTTTCATCTTCACCATTGGAGAGAAAGTCTTTTTAAAGTCTATTCCTGCTCTTTGATTATACCCTTTTGCAACTAGCCTAGCTTTAAATCTCTTTACCTCACCTGAAGCCTTATACTTTACTTTGTACACCCATCGGCAACCAATTGATTTCTTGCCTTTAGGTAGACTAACCACATCCCAAGTATGATTGTAACTCAAAGCTTCTATTTCATCTTTCATAGCTTGTATCCATCTTGGATCTTTACTTGCTTCTAAGTAAGTAGTTGGCTCAGTGACTGAGGAAGAGGCTGCTACACATGCCATATACTCTTTGATCAAACCTTCCATAAGACACATACTTTGATAAGGCATAGGGAACTTCTTTGTGAATGTTTAAGGACACAAAATCAGTCATCCAAACTGGTGTCTTCCTCTCTCTAGTTGACTTCCTCTGGTCTTGCACTCTTTGTGAACTACTTGTATCATTTTGTGTCACCTCATGTTGTTCATGCTGACAATCTGAGACTGCACCTTGTGAACTTGTAGTATCAGAAATCTTATTCCTTATGTCAGGAACAACCTTCACTGAATCTCCACTTGTGGTTGTGTCAGTTAACTCATATGGTTGTCCACTCAAAGGAAATATATATTGAGGCTCTTGAGGGACCTTATTCTTTTCTTTAAATGGAAACACATCTTCTCTAAACGATACATCTCTACTTATAAAAAAAACATCACTTACCATATCATACAACACATATCCCTTCTGAGTATTAGAAAACCCCATAAGGATAGTGGACATTGTTCTAGACAACAACATGTCATGCTCATTCACAACCTTAGCATAGCACAAGCACCCCACCACTTTAAGATGATCACAATTAGGTTTCTTTCCATACAACCTTTCATAAGGAGTTTGATAATGAATAACTGAACTTGGTAACCTATTTATAATATACACAGCTGCCAATACACAATATCCCCAGAACTTTATTAGAATTTCCCCTTGTAACCTTAGTGCTCTTGTGACCTCTAAAATGTGCCTGTGTTTTCTCTCAGCCACTCCATTTTGTTGTGGAGTGTAGGCACAGGTTGTCTGATGAATAATCCCTAGTGTTTTAAAGAAACTATTGCACAATGAGTTCAAAAACTCAGAGCCATTATCGGTTCTTACAACCTTTATTACCTTATGAAACTGAGTCTGCACATAACTAACAAATTGCTGAATTTGAACATACACATCAGACTTTAATTTCAACAAAAATACCCAAGTCATTCTGCTGAAATCATCAACAACTGTCAAAAAATATCTATTTCCATTTATAGTGGGAATTCTATAAGGCCCCCACAAGTCCATATGCACAAGATCAAAGCAACAAGTAGTTTTAATATTGCTAGAAGGAAATAACAACCTAGTCTGCTTTGCACTAAGACATACAGAGCATTGTTTTATTCTATCCTCTATAGCCAAAGACTTCTTAACAGACAAAATTCTTTTGAGTACATTAGAAGATACATGTCCAAACCTCCTATGCCATAAGTCCACTTCTGCTTGTTTCTTCTCCATAGTATTAGTAGTTAATACTTCATTGTTTCCACAACTAGTTGCCTTTTTATTTATCTGATCAGCCAGGAAATACAAACCACCATTAGCTCTTCCAATTGCTCTCACCTTCCCAGTGTAGAGATCCTGGAACACATAAAAATCAAGGAAAAAACTTACTGAGCACTGCCACTCTCTAGTCACCTTGGACACTGAGAGTAGATTATAATTGAACTGAGGAATATGCAATACATTAGAAATATTGTTTCCTTTTGTCAAACAACTTTTCCCTACACTAGAAACTATAGTTGTATCACCATTAGGAAGACAGACCCTCTTAACTTTTTCAGACTTTACCACAGACGACTTATCAAGCAGACCTAATTCAGACACTATATGATGCGTAGCTCCTGTATCTATTATCCACTGTTGTGACTTAGAACAAGCTAGAAAAGCACTGCTTATACCTGCGACATTAGCCGCATCTGCTGCCTCAGTCTCCTGTGTTGATGTACTGCTAGTGTGGATCATCTTTAGAATCTGATTGTATTGCTCTTGTGTGAAAACTGCTTTACCTATCTGGCTTATCATAGACATCTGCACTTCAAAATCTTCTTGATCACATGTCCTTGCCTTTACTTGAGAGCATTGTTCACTAGACTGACCAGCCACTACATTATAGGCAACACCACTTTCTATTCTTTGATTTCTCTTGGTTTTGAAATTAGGAGGGTAGCCAATTAACTTCCAACAATTCTCCTTGGTGTGACCCTTTAACTTGCAAAAGTCACACTGAACATTAGAGTTTTTATTAAGCCTTTGTCCCTGATTTCTTGAATACATAGCTACTTCATAATCTCTCAACTGTGCACCTGGCCTAACTCCCAATACTCCAACACTTGTAGCTACTGCCTTATGACTTTCATCACTTACAATCATAGCATAAGCTTGATTTACTGAAGGCAAATGACTCATAAGCAATATTTGACTTCTTGCTTGAAGATATGACTCATTTAATCCCATTAAGAACTGAAACAATTTCAATTTCTGAAGATGCACCACAAAATCTTTAGACTTATCACATTCACAGTTTGGTGCAGGAACAAGTGCTTTGAACTCATCCCACAAATCTTTCAGTTTTGAAAAATATGCACACACAGACATATTTTCTTGAGACAGGGAGGCTATATTCTTATGCAGATTAAAGGTTCTCACATCATCAATTTTATGAAACCTCTCATATAGATCATCCCACACTTCTTTTGCTATAGATGTATACATTATACCCCCAAGCAACTCTTTAGCAACAAAATTCATTATCCAAGATAACACTACTGCATTTACCCTCTCCCAATTATTCCCCAATTCACTAGGAAACTTATCTTTAGTACAAGTTCCATCTATCATACCCAATTTATTTCTTCCTAACAAAGCCACTGGTATGGATCTATGCCAGATTGAGTAATTCTCAATACCTGTGAGTTGAAACGATATGATCTGGGCACCACTCACATCTGATGGATTGAGGAATAGTGGATGATTGTAATCGATCACATTAGGTTGCATTCCACCTTGAACAGAGGATTGAATCCCACCTAGACCAGTCGTCCCTGTGGTTGAACTTTCAGTACCCACCATTGTTCCAATTCTTCAAGATCGCTGATCTTGACTCTGGCTTTACACTTCAATTGAACTTTCAATTGTAAGATCGTCGATTTTTTCTAGATACTCTAACTCGAAGGCTCTGATACCATGAAATTGTTCTTAGGAACAATAGTTTCCAGAACTGATCGAAAGGAGAAGAGGGACAGAGGGGAAGAGGAGAAGAGAAGAGCAATTCTATATCTTTTCTATTAGAGAAAATATATTCTGGAAAAACATAACTACAATTACTCACAAGACTCTCTTATATAGAGAGATATTTTTCCAAGACTTAATAACTAACTTTTAGAACTAACTACTCTCTTCCTTTTTTTTCCTTACTGTCAACACTATGACATATTTTATTTTCAATGTATTTCAATAAAAATATTGACATATCTATCGAAAACTATTCTAAATTAACACTTTGATTTACTCTTAATAATATGACTTATTTGGAACCACTTAATATAGAAGTTCATTTTTTACTAGGAAAGACAAAATGGAAGACGTGTAAAGTTACTAATTATTTCCTCGAGCTTAAGATGTGTTGTGTCATGTCTAAGTATCTCTCTCTAATTCTTTCCTCAAACTGAAGATGTGTTATGTCGTGTCTAATTATCTCTCTTAATTCTTTCTTCAGCTTTACCTCTCCTTAGACCTATGGATCGCAGTCCACCTCTTGCATATCCTCACTAGGACATCAACACTCCTCCTCTTCACATGTCCAAACCATCTCAATCTCATATATATTCCTCATCTTGTCCACCTAGAAAGTCACTCCAACCTTGCCAGATATATCTTCATTCCTAATCTTGTCTCTCCTAGTATGCCCACATATTCATCTAAGAATCCTCATTTCTATTATCTATATCTTTTTGAACATGTAGAGTTTTTAGTTGGTGTCCAACCCAGTAAAACATATTTGTTCTGATTTTCACTCTATAAAACTTGTCTTCAAAGCTCAATGAAATATTTTATCACATAAAACATCAAATGTAAACCTTTATCGATCTCCCTATTTTCAAACATCGTTATATTTTTAAATAAAAATAAAATATCGCCATATAAATTGAAACAAAGCGAACACAAAATAAAGGATAAGAGGGGCACTTATTATGGAAAAGGAATAACAAAAGACAAAGTTTGACAGAGTGGAGAGAAGTAGGCGGCACATGGTTTACAAAGCATCATACTATATGATAGACCCCATATAATTCAAGAATGGACCGCCGGTACCAAAGAATAATAATATAATTACATTAAAGAAATATTTATATTTATAATATAATATATAGTACAATAGTTTTACATATATATAAACCTCTTTCCTCTCCAATATCAACTACAATCAATCTTTAATTTTCATCTTTTTTAATTTTCTTAGGTGCCAAGGAAGGGTCAATCTTGATTTTGAATTTTTGTGATAATGGCATTGTCTAGAGTAGTTGTTGGATTGACCATCTTTGTTGTGGCATTGGTCACTATTGTTCCCTTTACACAAGCTCAAGAGTTTGCACCTGCTCCTGCACCTACCAGTGATGGTATGTTCTACTATTCTCATTTTTTCAATCATACTGACAAAATTTCGTAGCTAAATAACAAAAAGTTCATGTTAATCTCATTTAGTAGACATTTTAAAGAAAATTTAATTAGCTAGAAGTCTTTTAGTGACAGAATAGCTAAGGATTTCCTACAAATTTCAAAGCATTGAATCATACTGTTACAAAATTTGATAGCATAAAAGTTCTAATTAATATTGTTAGTATATAAAAGTTAAACTCGAGCCATAACTTAAAGTTGATAGTTGCATTTTTTTGAAATCATTTACAATTTGCAGGAACAACAATTGATCAAGGAATTGCGTATGTGTTGATGTTGCTGGCTTTAGTTCTTACTTATCTTATTCACCCTATGGATGCTTCTGCCTACACCTTCTAAATTCCTCTATGAAATATTATTTTAAATTAGGTCTAAATTTGTTTATTTATTTATTTTATCTTTTAGTTTACAATGTGAGTGGGAATTAGAAAGTACAAACATGGGTTGTATTAACAAATTCTTTAATGTATTATTGGTAATTATAATAACATAACATGAAATTATATATTTATATATATATATTGTGTTTGTGGTTGCTCCTTCTCCTATTTCCATCAAGAGGTATCTCAAATAATTTCAATAAAAAGGTGTGATAGCGGTTAATCTAGTTCTCTATTCAAGAGAGTTCACATCTTTGAATAGAGAAAGAACGAGGACTTTCATAATAGAGGTCTCAAATTCGAAATTTCTTATTTACAATAGTTTAATCTAGTTCTCGAATCTTTTGGGTTCGTCTCCAAGGGCTCACCCAGTGCGGTTTACCTTTTCTATATGGTTTGCAAGCTACTGCAAATTTTAAAGAAGAGCAGTGAGTATATAGATTATTCATGTCTCACTAACCATATATGGTTGGATGGTGGTCCTCCAAGATGCCAACTTATCATAAAATTGGAAACAACTAGCTAAGACGCATGGTTCAATGATAAATGTTTGTAAAGTGTCATTAGAGACAAATTCCGAATTTAAACTACTTCGAGGATGTAGAGAGGCTATTTCCAAAAGACCTCGACTCGAGTAACAAACAGCAGTGCAGCTAAAAAACCAAAACAGAAGTAAATAGGACATGAAAAATAATAAGGGAAACATAACATAACATACCAAACAAGGGGAACAACCATAACCAGCTAACGTGATAACTGAAACGCAGGAAATAACGAGGAATATTTCAGGCTTCAATTCAAAACTTTTAAACTTATAATAGATATCCAAAATAATGAAGACAGTATGGAATTCATAAAGACAATTAGTGAACAGTTTTACATGAAATAGATTGGTGAAACCAAATGTTACAAATCCTAAACCAAATAAACAAACACTTCCCAGATTTGTTCAAATATTAGTATATCTATCTATGTAAACAAATTCAAAGCATCGCCTTTCCTCCAGAGGCTTTGTTTAATGCTATTCTACACTTATGTTGATGGAAGGTAGAGGACAGAGACGGACACATTCATTCTTTTTACACAAATTCAAGCACTCGTAGGAACTGTTTTAACCCATAGCATACTTCTGGGTCCAACTCCGGGCAGCTGATTCATATTTTACCCTGTCTGTCTTGTACATATGAGCAATCTCAGGCACCAGGGGATCATCGGGGTTTGGATCCGTCAAGAGTGAGCATATTGAAAGCAAAACCTAAAGATAATACAGAAACATTTCCCACCTTAAGAAACATAGACAATGTACACAAACATTGTGAAAGTTTAACATGGCAAGATTCCATTCTGTAGAAAAGCATGATTCAATCGGAACAACGAAGACATGAATATATTCTTAGCAAAATCCAGCTAAAGGGTTTTATGTAGATAATATTGAACTGTATCAATCATTATATTTGCCCCGATTATTTTCTAAAAAATTTAAAAAACAAACTAGGTTGTAAGGTAAGAAGGAACCTTGGAAATAGTCAAGGCAGGGCTCCATTGCTCCTTCAATATGTCCAAGCATATACTGCCATTGCTATTAATATTTGGATGGAAAACTTTTGTCCTAAAAGCAACCTGCAAAGATTTAACCACAGATTTAAGAACATTCACATCAACTAGGACAATACAATTAACAAGCTAAAAATATAAACAATAATGCACTCCAAGAATCAGTACAAGATGTACTGAAGCCCAAATTGATCATCCTATTGTTCGTTCTTCTGAAAATATCATCCTATTGTTTCTCACAATGTTTATATATGAGATGTTTATCTGGAGTTACCAAATATATTCTCAACAAAATTTTAGTTAGCTTAACTCTATAATTGATAAGAATGAACAAGAGGACCTCTTTCATCGCCTTATCTGGAACCAAAAATATCAAAGAAAAAAAAACATATAAAAAACAACACAGCTTCTATATAGTTGTGCCCTTTTTTAATAGTTTAAACCTCAACAACATGACAAATCAATTTCGAAATCTTAGCATCTCAACTTATATAAGAAACTTAAAATAACTAAACCAGTAAAGGCTCCATCGGTGACACAGGATCAGTCAACCACAGAGACTAACTTTTCCTATGGGCTTCAGTGGGAAATGGCCCAAAAGTATGCACCAAATTACCAACTTTTAATATTTTTATCAAAAGCTACATCGGAAACATTCAACAATCCAAAATTATGCTCCAACATAACTAGATAAATAAGTATCTGCTCACAGCACAAATCAATCGAGGGAGACATCAACTCACAAAAGAAATCTGCAACCATCTCATTACCTTAGGAGGTTTAAATGGATAATCAGGAGGAAAATGAATAGTGACTAAAAATACACCCCCAGCATAAGGACTATCTGGAGGGCCCATGATCGTAGCTTGCCAGTGAAACATGTCCTCTCCGACGGGGCCTGTAACATTGCACCAAAAGTTTAGGAAGTTAAAAAAATGAAATGATGAGTGACGTAGTGTATGCCCTAAGAAAAGAAATGCAAGAACACGTTCATTGCTAAGATACTCTACCCTTAGACTTGAAAGAAACTACACCCTCCTATAATGGAAAAAGTAGCATGCAATAATTTCCATCACACAAACAAGGAATCACAACCCAGCCAAAGACACATCTGCAGGACGTCTTGACAGGGACTATCTATTATCACAAGGCTCGGATTCAAATAGAAAGATCCCAAAAGGCATCGACTAGATGACATTAGGTACTAACACTAGGAAACTTGGAGGAGTGAACAGAGTGCATGATGAAATAATATTCAATCATGGATCCACCAATCAGGCAATTACTGGCAAAATTAATCAGGCTTTACACAAGTTCTGTCAAGAGAAACAAATAAGACAAAGCCTTCACGTCTAAATATTTTCGTGCCACAGGTTCTCGCTTTTGACATGCGTTGTAATACTATCAAAAGAGTAACCTAAAAGAAGCTTAGATGATGGACAACACAAAACCACTAGAAAAGCTTTAGTATCTCTATTAAAATCAGAGAGTGCAGTCTGCCAAGATATCTTTGCTGTTTTCTCTGCACAAGATAAAAAGCTAATATCCATTTAATATTTTGAAAAGGTAAAGGAACCTGATTTCACAAGGAGTCAAATAGAGACAAGGTCTTAGACCCTCGGAGTCAGAATAGCTCTTTTGGAGCTAGAATACAACTGACTGAAGCAAGATGGCTTATTGA